GGCCTCCAGCCACGTGATTTTACTATTATTCTGTGGAATACACCGTATCCACCGATATCCATTAAATAACAAGTATTTACTTACTACAACCACTATAGCAAGTATACAGTATATTAACTCTATACTTATTTCTTAATTCCGGAGCAAAGCGACGGGTTATATGCTAGTATATGATATTATACATGTATATGATATAAAAATATTTATCTTTTATATACCGATCATGCCAAGAAGACTAATTTAACCTAGAAAAATCATTTGGCAAAGTTTTTATCAGGTGTTTCAAGAATTATGAAAACAGCCTAAAAAAATTTGGTTGAAATATTTTCGTAATGTGTAGCTTTTTTGTATTGTCGTATCTTTTTGTTTACTGTATTGCCGCAATTTTTTGTATTGCCTTGGCTTTCTATATTAACGTAATTACTGAGATAAGGTTATGGCAAACGTCAGTTATGACACTTTTGACGTGACGCACGTCAATTTAACGTAACCATACGTCTTTAAATGTGCATTTATACTTAATATTCGGATATCTTAATATATACCTCTTTTTTACCTTCTTAAAATTTAAATTTAGTTACAAAATATTAAAAAGGCTAAAAAATAGGTATTTAACTTTTAAATTGGAGGCTTTTAAAAGGCGTTAATGAATTTTCTTAGATGCGCGATTTTGATTGGTTTTAAGATAACGGATCAACCGAAATTTTTATTCTAATCTCTGAATCAGTATATATATATATGTATTTAGTAAAACTTTGCCTATCTTTTTATTTGTAATACAAATAAATTTCGAAGCAACATAGCAACATGTGAAGATCTAAGGTTAAAAATAATAATTTGTGTACGCATTATTTTAATAAAAAACGTTTATCATTTTAAAATACTGATAAAAGCTTGCAATCTGGTTCGTTAGAAAAAAGAATGGTCAATTTTGCGAATTCCGAACTCGTGTAACCTACACAGCCCGATAAATTCTCGAGTGCGTTATCTTTCAATGTAAATGTAACATACAAATAATCAACTGTGACTATGATAGTTATCTGCAAGGATTTTCATGATAAGATAACAACTTATCTTCTTTATCTTATCATTACACTATTATGAGATCGTCATATTGTAATTTATTATAATTTATTTATTATTATTATTATCTATAATGAGGAAAATTATGTATAAATAGAACGCTTTTTCTTCATTTTCTACATAATACAACACAACACTTTATTATACATAACAATGGATACACAATCACTTAATACTAGTACATTAATCCCTCATAAAGTTGATAAAGTTGGTATCGACAAACGTGATGTTGGTACTCCTGATGATTGGATCCCTCGTCATCCTGAAATGATAAGACTAACAGGAAAACATCCTTTTAACGCAGAAGCGCCATTATCGCTTCTAGTAGAGCAAGGCTTTATTACTCCAAACCCCTTACACTACGTAAGAAATCATGGTCCTGTTCCTAAACTCCAGTGGGATACACATCGTTTAACTGTTAACGGGTGAATAATATATTTAATAAATGGTTTTTTTTTCTTTTTTTTTATTAAATGGCTTTTTTTCTTTTTTTTTAATAATGGTTTTCTTTCTAATTGTGGTTTAGACTCGTGTCAAACCCCTTAACCTTATCAATGGACGATATCGAAAGCCTCCCTTATAAGGAATTTCCTGTGACCCTTTGTTGCGCTGGAAACCGAAGAAAAGAACAGAACATGATCAAACAAACTAAGGGATTTAATTGGGGAGCAGCAGCTACAAGTTGTGCTATCTGGAAAGGAGTCCCATTAGGCCATATTTTAAAATTAGCTGGAGTTGATGAAAAAACTGATAAGCCTCGTTACGTATGCTTTTCAGGTTGTGATAAATTACCCAATGGTATTTATGGTACAAGTATTCCTTTGGAATGGGCAATGAACGATGCTAATGATGTCATCTTGGCATACGGAATGAATGGTGAAAGATTACCTCCTGATCATGGTTATCCATTACGTGCTCTTATTCCTGGATGCATTGGCGGTCGAATGGTTAAATGGCTTGGAAGTATAACAGTATCCGATAAAGAATCAGATAGTTATTATCATTATTTTGATAACCGTGTTCTTCCTCCAGAGTATGATATGGACCGAGCAAATAAAGAAAAAGCTTGGTATAACCCAGATTACATTATCAATAAACTTAATATTAATTCAGCTATAACTTCACCGGCACACAATGAACGTATTTCATTGTCAAGCTTTGTTAGTACAAAAGAGTATACAGTCAAAGGGTATGCATACACTGGAGGTGGTCAAAAGCTTACCCGCGTAGAAATTTCTTTAGATAATGGGAAAACATGGCATCTCACAAAATTGACACAACCAGAACTTGAACATCCAGAAGTTCTAAAGAGAGGAGTAAATCCTATTCCACGATATTGGTGCTGGAGTTTTTGGTCAATATCTGTCCCAATTTATTCATTTATTCGATGTGAAGAAATTTCAGTGAGAGCTTGGGATGCCACTCATAATACACAACCTAATACTCCAACATGGAATGTAATGGGAATGATGAATAATTGTCATTACCGCGTAAAAGTAAATACAATTAATGAAGGTAAAGAATTTTTCTTAGAATTCATACATCCAACTCAACCTGGTAATAATCCCGGCGGTTGGATGGTTAAACCCGAACCACCCAAGACGGAAAAGAAGGTATCCGATTCATCAACATCCGTTAACAAAGAAACTCGCACTTTTACCACTCTACAAGTGGAAAAACACAACAATGATAAAGATTGTTGGATTATTATAGACAAAAAAGTTTATGATTGTACAAGATTCCTAAAAGTACATCCTGGTGGTATGTATTAAATTTCTTATACTAAATAGAACCCTCTCTAAATAAACGCGCCTTAGGATTTTGATCTACTGTAGAAGGCGCGTGCATTTATATAATTAGATATTGAGAGATATGGTAGATTTAGAGGGGTTCTTGGTATTAATAATATTAATATGCACAATTCCTTTTCTGATTTCTATATTTGTTTTTATTTATAGGTATTGATGCTATTCTTATAAATGCCGGAAAAGATGTTACAGAGGAGTTCAATGCCATCCATTCTTCCAAAGCAAGAGCCAGGTTGGAGAAATTCTATGTCGGTGATCTATCGGATTCATCCCAATCAAAATTGTAGTAAGGTTTTCCGATTTAAAAAAAAATTTCTTTTTTTTTTTTGTCACCCTCATCAAAAAAAAAACAAATCCATTTTTATGCAATTGTATAGTATCGGTTTCAATTATACATTTACACTACTTAAATATGTAAATGTAAAAATTTCCTTCCCACTTATAATTTGTGCGCTTTTAATGTTATATATATTTGAATGAAAAAAAAAAAAATTCTTAATGCATTTATGTTACAATGAATGTTATAAAATTATCTTCTGAACATAACTTTATTGAAAAAAAAAAAAAAAAATTCTTAATGCATTTATGTTACAATGAATGTTATAAAATTATCTTCTGAACATAACTTCTTTATTGAAAAAAAAAAATATGAAAAAGTAAAACCTTTTGTTGTTTATTATATATTAAGGATTGAATAATACGTACAATTTCGAATAAAATTTATTTAACTCCTTTTCTTATGTACGCCATCATAATATCGACCAATGATTTTATATCAGTTTTTCAGTTGGTTATCTGTGTACCGTCTATGGTAAATCTATGTCCGACGATAGATTTACCATAGATAACCAACTGTACACAAAATATACTCCGATTGTAGGTTTTCCTTTGACGGCACTCATTTATTATAAAACGCATTTATGGTGGTTTTGCACCTATTATGGTGTTAGTATTTGGTTAGAATTAAGGTTTGGAAAGGGTTTTGGGGCGTAGAATATTTTTACTTAAAGCACCGCATACTAATAGGTGCGTTTTAGTATAAGTGTTGGCTCTTAACTTTTATAACCAATAATCTATTTATATATATAGATATAAACATTGAGTTAGTCCGAGTATGGATATAACTACTATACGTAAATGGTTCCATTTGTTTGGAATGGGAGGAAAATTTATGATTACACATGGCTTTAGACATCTCTTATTTTTGGCAATTGATAACGATAGGGAGGCCATAATTCCCGATCTTACATAAATGGTTTATCTTTTGCAGAGGGGGTTTACTAATTTCTCTCCCACTTCCCATTGGACTAGAGTTGTTGGTGAAACTAATTTATGATGGTGCACCAGTTTTCGCCAATCACCAATCACCAATCAGCATTGGTGATACTGGTGATACGGTGATACTGGTGATACTGGTGAAACTGGTGATACTGG